TCGACCGTCTGAATCAGGTCTTCAGCTCGCTTTTTCTCTCGTTTCTTCTCCAGTTTCCAACTTTCGTCACTCTCTGGTCCACTCTACAAGCCCCCCTACTGCCACACCCCCCATTCCAACCCGCCATTCCGCACTTGCATCCCACACTTTTTGTTAATCTTAGATTTTAGCCTTCCCTTGTTGGGACCATGTGTATATGAGGCCAGTGACTACATTTTCCCACACCAAAAACCAAAAGTCCAAACTCAGTCAGACACTGATCTGGTCCGACACTGTCAACCAAGTCGCTACCAACGACGAGCCGAGAGAAGGAGATTGCGACACTTGTCCAAGCGACAAACCCGACAAGAAAACAGAGACTCGCAGCCCCAAGAGCCCCTCTACTAAAAGAGACCCCCCTCCCCCACTACAAGTAGCTCCATCTCCACCCCAGACAGCAGCATCAGCACACAAAATGTCCAACATTTCGCGTGTTCTCAACGACGAGCCGGCTGACGACGCCAAGGTCGAGTCCCAGACGCCCAAGCTCGCCCCGATCACGTCACCAAAGGACAAACTGGCGTCGCCCTACTCGAATCCCACCCTTAGTAAGAGCGATTCTAGTCTGGAAAAGACTCAGAACGAACACGACGCAGCAGGTGTCACCACAACAGCCAACTCGACCACAGCCGCAAGTACACAGAACCAAAAGCCTAACCCGAAACTGCCGGCCACCGACGACGGCTCTTCGCTCAAAAGAACCCTCTCGTCCTCGTCTCTGTCTCCAGCGCTCTCCTCACCCTCCAACCTCAGATTCAAGCGAAAAAAGGTGCCCAGCGACATCCGCATCTACCCTCTGTCCAAAGCAGGTCCTCCGCCAGTCAACTCTGCGCCCCCAACCATCAGAGCCTTCTCCTCCGCAGAAACACAACCGCCGCTTCGAACCCCAGTGCATGCTCCAAACTCGGCCAACTCGTCTTCTGGAGGATCGTCAGAAAACACTCCTCACACGGCGCACTCCACCAGTGGAAACAACCCTGCCAATGGCTCGGGGCTCCCCTCGGCGGTGGGAACTGGTCCCGGAACCAACAAAATGTACTACGTGCACCCTAACGGCGTTCAGAACCCCAATGCCATAAGATACTACAATCTGCAGCTCCAGGCCAACCTGGGCATTCCACCTCCCCCAGGCTCACAACCCCCAGGATCTGCAACGGGCCTGCCTCCCTACCCTGGGGACGCCCGTAATCAGATCCCCATGGTCTCGCCTCTGAACTCTGCACATCCTGGAAGCTCGCTGCATCCCGGATCACATGGTCCTCATACGAGCGTACCGCCAGGATCGGCCACTGGCCTCATGACGCCACAGCCCCACCCGCACTCGCAAAAGCCGTCGCCGTACTCCAAGGTGCAAGTGGAAGACATTTACGAGGGCCCCAATGGTCCCGGTGTAGGCACTAAGACCTACCACTTCCCGCATTACGTGGAGCTGCAGGCCTCTTCACCCTACGCTTCTTCGTTCAAAAAGGCGGGGGCTCTTCCTGGAGGAGCTACACCAGGCCCTCAGTCCCAGGGAACTCCTCTGGGCCACCGGGGCGTCAATGGCCGGTCGTCTGCTCCTCGAGCAGAGTCTGAAATGGAGGGATCTGAGTCCAACAGCGACAAGAAGGAGCGGTTCCTCAAGCTGTGCGGAGAAATGTGGGATCTTCTGAAGAATTGAGCCCATTGACCCTCAGCATCCTTCTTACACAACCCCATCTGACGACCCTAAGCATTTGCAGTCATTGCTGCGTGTATATTTATTGTATGTACAAGTAACAGATAATTTTGCATATCATTCTCTTGTTTTTTCTCTTGCTTCATTCCATATACGTGACTTTGTAGAAGACCTTTTCATTGTCTAGCTGTCAATCCATGTAAGCCTGTACCTCTCCAGATTGAGTTGGGGAGAGGTGCATGGCATGTTACATTGAAGAGCAATTGTAGCCGAAAGGTCTGCAGGTAAGCAGAATAAAAACAACTCCTCAAGCGAGAAGAACAAAGCCTCGATCACCGTCTGGAACGAACGAGTCACAAGAGTTTTAATCTTGCGTCTTTGTGGCCCAACTCACGTCTCCAAGTATTTTTTGACTCACCTGTAGTACGAGGAACTCCCCTGAAACATGCAGGCTAAAAGAGCTGGGGTAGTGAAAGATAGGAGGAGGGTTTAATAATGGGTGAGAAAAAAAGCGTGGGTCTAACGGATGCGAGACAGCTTCCTGTTTCAGCAAACTACAGTCAATGGTTGCATTGCAACAGTGGACTACGTGAATAATATAGGGGCTGAGGCTGTTTGGTTGTCTCAAGCGGTAATTCTTGTGTGTGCATTTTAGCCACAGGGATGCATGAGCAGTGTGGTGTTTGAATAATCAGATGAGGCAAAAAAATAGCTGGGCATGGCCAAGAAAGCGAAGAAGAAAAAATTAATGGGGAAAAATACAATAGAAATATGGTGCAAGTGCACGGGTGACCCACCTACCCACCTGATTGCATATTATCCGTATGTCTGCAATGCAGGGCCCTCGTTTCATTTGACGAGGCCCAATTCGATTATCTATATCCTTTGTTGGGGTGAAGGTGATGTGAAACTGATGTCATACTGAGGAGTATTATATCAAGTGTGGAAATTGGTGTGGAAATTGGTGTGGGAAGATCATTGCTCTGATATTCCATCTATCCAAACCATTGCTGTGGTTATTTTGGTCTCGCTTGAACGTCCTAATACAGCCACTTGCTCATGTAAGGACCATCCAGGAAGTAGCCGAGCTTGGCGTAGTAGTTTCGCACTCCGACTCCAGAAATGACGGAAATCTTCTTGGAGCCGTGCTCGTCACGTGCAATACGCTCTGCCTCCTCCATGAGAAGCGTACCAAAGCCCTGATGCTGGAACTTTCGAGGGTCTCGGTTGTGCAGAGGCACAGCAGAACCGTAGACATGCAACTCTCGAACCAGAGAGGTCTTCTGGCCAGTCAGCTCAGGTCGGTAGGTGGTCTTTTCGGAACACAGACGCAGTCGCAGCAGACCAATGAGAATATCTTGCTCGGGATCCTCGTAAGACAGGAAAGTCTCCCATCCTCCGTTGGCAGTGTAGTCTCGTCGGATGAGTTCCACCTGGTCAGGTCGAACTCGATGATGCACCTCCTGAATACCGACCTCTCGTGTTCGGATGTCACGGCACTTTGTTCCGAAATCCTTCATTCGAGCCAGCGCCAGTTCTCGCAAGTTTCCGTTCTCCACACCAGCAGTAACCAAGGGCATGGGAATATCTCTCTGGACTCGGTAGATTCGGGTCCACGGGGGGACCAATGCAAGAATTCGAGCCACGAGATCGATCAGAGCGTTGGCGTTGTAGGACTTGTATCGTCCAGTCTTCCATAGCTCATACAGACCTGTTCCTCGGATGACCAGAGTGGGATACAGCTTGAGACCGTCTGTTCGGAAATCGGGCGACGAAAAGTACTCTCGGAACTGGTCCAGATCTCGCTCCATGCCCACGTTGGGCAGATCGGGCATCATGTGTGAAACCACCTTGTATCCGGCGTCCTTGGCCAATGCAAAGGTGTGGCAGACAGCCTTGACGGTATGTCCTCGGTTGGAGTCTCTAGCAACATCCTCGTACACACTCTGGACTCCAATTTCCAGACGGGTGCATCCGTATCTCAACATATCCGACAAATGCGTTTCTGTGCAGTAGTCAGGACGTGTTTCGATGGTGATACCAACACACTTTGTGTTTGAATGCTGAGCCAGACGCACGGCTTCATCAACGTCCTCAGCATGCACTCCAGACAGAGCATTATGCAGCTGAGAAATGAAGCCCTCTCTGTATTCCTTGTCCAGCGACATGAAAGTTCCTCCCATGATAATGTATTCCACCTTATCGACCGAGTGGCCCAGAGATCTGAGCTGATCCACTCGACCTCGAGCCTGCTCGTAGGGATCGTATCGAGCTCGGATGGCTCTCATGGACGTGGGCTCGTAACCAGTATAACTCTGGGTGGAGTATTCAAAGTCTGAATCGGGACCTCCGGGACAGTAGACACAAATGTTTCCAGTATAGGCAATATGGGGACATCTGTGAGGTTTGCACATGACAGCAACTACTGCAATACCCGAAGCCGTTCGAACAGGCTTGGCTTGCAGTTTTGGCAGGAGGTACTTTTTGTATTGGTCGGGAATCGAGCCGATAATGTCGGTCAGACGAGGCTGGGAGGCCAGCTTGTATTGTTTGGCATACTTGGTCACCAAAGCGTTGAGGTTGATGTCTTTGGTGGATCCGTTGGACAGAGATCCAACGAGCTCAAGTGCGATATCGGTACAAGCGGACAGAAATCGCTCGTGCTCAGGAGCAAGTTGCTTGCCCTTGTTCTTGTGGCCCATCTTCTGTTGTTTAGTTGTGATGTTTGTGATATCTGGACCGTGCTCAACTTGGAATTTTTCTATCATGCATGCTCAACCTAAATTAATTTACGGGATTAGGTTTACCCAGTTGGGGTAAGAGGAAATCGACTGTAAGTGTAGTAGTTCATGATGGACGAGGTTTGTAGCTATTTGGAGTTATAAATTAGAGCATAGAAACAGTGGTTTAGGTATTTCTGCTCATATATAAGCTATATACTATGTTCTGGGCACGATTTATGTATCTTTAATTGGGATGTTAGCATACAGATCAAAGTATAGCTGACCACCTTAATAAAATGGATTTTGCTCTCACGACAGAATCAAGAACAAAAGAAGCATTGGACAGTTACAGACCCCAGGTGTGGATATTTCTCCAGAATCTGTGTCCTCTCCTTGATAATAACTTTCTATATGCACAAACTTGCCTCAAGTAAAGTATCAAGTAAAGTATTATACTGCACGAGCTAGCTAGATCACACTTCACTACAGTATGGCTCCAACCCCACAGCACACGATACTGTACATACATGAACATGTGCCAGGAAGCAGGGCAAAAAAATAACGACTGACGGCAGCAAAAATGAGAGCTGGGAGATTCGAACTCCCGCATCTTTCGATACCAGGGAATTTATATTCAAGTGTGTTACACCTAAACCTGGCGCCTTAGACCGCTCGGCCAAACTCCCGGAAGTGTGTGCTCGTGAGAGAAGGGGCTAGATCAGCAGCGCTTTGCTGAGTAAGCACCGCGTTAAATTGCACTATTTGCAGCAATTGAATCTTCTCTGGCGTTGTAATTACTCCTTCAATACCAGTCCATGGTTCAGTAATCAAACTCTTGATATAAAGTTGTCAGGTTGACAGGTTTCACGAGAAATGAGGTTTAGCGTTGATAGCCGAGGACAGGAGAGGCGCCATGCTAGCGTCCAATAATACAAGTTGCATGGCGCAGAACGCGCCGTAAAGCCTTGCGGGTATTACTAAGCACATGGACATCCCTTTCTTTGTTCAGCCTCGTATACGATCACACCATACCCTGTTCGCATTTCAAACTCTACTGCACCCTGCCGACGCTCCCCTTCCACGTGAGTGAGTAAACATATGTCCATACGAACGTGTCTTACATATTATGGTGCGAGTGGTGATGAGACGATCTTGTTGGAGCTACGGGTGGGCTGCTATATTACAACGTAGGGACAGTAAACATGAGGCACGCAAGCAGGTTTTAATAATAAATAATATTAGCAATCTATGGCGCTTATACTGCTTAAATGTCTCTCTATTTTATGCCCGTTGACTCGGACTGTTGAGTCTCTTTTTGCCCCTACCAAATCCACCAAACTCCCCACAGCACATGCAGTCGCATTGCTAACCTTGGTGACGTTGATCAAAGTTGGCCAAACGCTACGTCACACACAGTACACACGCATACGACAGGATTTTCGTCCGTTCGAACCAATCTCACCGATCACGCCAGGTTCTTTCGATTGAGGTCGTCAATTAGGTGAGTTCCGGCTCTTTCGCGGCCTTTTCCGCGCTTTCAGACCCTTGAAAGAGGCGTACCGAGACATTCAACTAACACAGTATGGCTAAAAAGAATAACAAGAAGAGTAAGGCCAAGGCCAAGAAGCCCACGCCTTCGGCCACCGTGCCCGCAATCAACGTGGACTCGTCGGTGGCTGCTGATCCTGCCGCTGTGGAAACCCCAGATGCTTCCACTCCCGCATCACTCAGCATCCCCGAGAGTGCCGCAGCTACAGAAACAACGGCGTCCGTGTCGCCAACCTCGCCCGTGACCAACGTTTCGCCGTTGGCAGAGGCCGTGGCTGAACAGGACGCGCCTGGATCAAGTCCAGAGGAGGAGGAAGACATTGTGGAGGAAGAAGCGGATGTCAAAGAGACTGTCGAGGAGTCTGAAGAGCCCGCAGAGACAGAGCCCGAGGCCGAGCCTGAATCGCCAGAAGGAACCACGCCTGTTCTGACGGTACAGCCCAACGATCTGGCTGCTGAGCCTACAGTCGAGACAGTTGATGTGAATATCCCTGTTCCTGCTGAGCCAGAGGAGGTTGAGCATGTGCTCGAGACTCAGACCGAAGAGCAGACTGATCCGGTGGTTGCAGAGGTTGAACAGCCCGAGCCCCCTGTGGCTTCGGATAAGGACTTCTTTTCCACTCTGTCCAAGGAGGAGGATGGAGAAGAAGAGGTTCAGGAAGAGCCTGAGACTACTGAAGCTCCTGTTCCCGCTGCTGAGCCTTCCATTGCACAGGTCGAGAAGCAATTGGAGAGCCGGCTCATGGAGGATCCCGTGGTGGAAAGCGAGAAAAAACACAAGGAGGAAGAAACCCGCATTGTGGAGGACCAGCTGACCGAGCGGCTGATGAAAGATCCTGTGGTTGAGGAAATTAAGCACGAGCGAGCCCAGGAGACCGCCCAAGTGGAAAAGCAGCTTACAGAGCGGTTCATGGAGGATCCTGTGGTTGAGCAGATCAAGCAAGAGCGAGCTGAGGAGGATCACGCCGTGCAGGATCAGCTGGAGACCCGGTTGGAGGAGTCTAAGGACGACTTCTTCGCCAACTTGGGTTCTGAGGAGACTAAGGAAGTCGAGACTGCACCTGCTGCACCTAAGGCAGAGTCCAAGCCTGAAGATGACTTCTTTTCCTCTCTTGGAGGTAACCCCGATGAGACCGCTGAGAAGACGGCCATCGAGACACAGCCTGAGCCTGAATCTCAGCCTGAGCCTGTCAAGGCTGAGGAGCCCAAGGCCGAGGCACCTGCTGAAGACGATTTCTTCTCTGGTCTAGGCAAGTCTGAGCCTGAGCCTACTCCTGCTGTGCCTGCTGCCAGTAAGGAAGAGGACGACTTTATGGCATCTCTTGCCCAGACCCAAAAACCCGAGCAGACCGATCTGCTTCCCCAAGACGACTTCTTCAACCAACTTGGTGAAGAGAATGTGCAGTCGGTGCCTGCTGAGCCTGAACACGTGGCCCCCGAGCCTGCTCCTGCTGCTACTGAGGCTGCTGCTCCTGAGGATGACTTTTTCAGCCAGCTTGGAAAGTCCCCTGAAAAGCCTGCCGCTCCTGCTGCTACTTCTGTCTCCCCCGTGGCTCCCCGAAGAGGACACAAGGTGCAGCCCAGCGAAGCTGACTTTTTCGCTCAGCTTGGAGAAGGCGAGAACGAGGCTCCCCCTGCCCAGCACGAGCCTCCACAGCCCCAGCCCATCACTCTGTCTCTTGACGAAGATGACGATCTGCTTCTGACAGACGAGGACGAGCAGGCTGAGGTGCTGGCCGAGGCAGGCAAGCCCAACCCTCCTGCCCAGTCATTTGCATTTTTGGAGGACGATGATCTCCTTGAGAGTGACCAGGACTTTTTGGAGACCGATGACGAAGACCAGGAGCCCATCGCTGCCCAGACTGGCGGCGACTTTAGAGCTAATCAGCAGCAGCAGAACACTTATTTCCCCACTGCTCCTGCTGTCCCTGCTGCTCCTGTCTCTACTAGTCGGTACAACACTCCTACGATGCCCTCTCAGTCTCAGTTTGGAGGCTATGGAGCTGCTCAGTCCACTCCCAGCATGTACCAGCCTGTTTCTTCTCAGTCCACGCCCTCTGCCGCCCCTCCTGGCAAGCGTGTGGACAAGAACAAGTCGGACGCCTTTGATTTCCCTACTGGTATGATTCCCAAGGTGGTCAAGAAGCAACGGTCGCAGCAGCAGCTTCCTCAGGCCCATGGTGCTCCTGGTGTTGGTCCTGGTCTGATGCCTGCGTTTGGAGCTGCTGCTGGAGCTCCTCCTACGCCTGGAATGCCTCCTATGGGACCTCCAAGACCTGCTAGCAATCAATATGCTCCTCCTTCTGTTCAGCAGCCGCCTACTACGGCGCCCAAGAAGAACTTCTTTGAGGAGCTGCCTCCCATTCCCGTCAAGCCCATTTCTCGACAGCCGAGCTACGCCTTGTCTCCTCCTCGAGCTCCTTTTGCTCAGGAGGCAGCCGCACAGCAACCTCGACGAGTCAGTGATAGCTACGGTATGCCTCCTCATGGTGGTCCTGGTGCAGGTATCCATTCTGCTCCTGTTTCTCATCACAACAGCATGTCTGGACCTTCTGCTCCCCACAACCCCTACGCTCCTCCTAGTGGGCCCTCAGCTGTTCCTCCCAAAACGAGCTCTCCTTATGCTCCCCCTCCAGCTGCAGTGCCTCCTAAGGTGAGTTCACCCTATGCTCCTCCCCCTCCATCAGTGCCCCCCAAGACCAGCTCACCATATGCGCCTCCTCCCCATATGGCTCACTCGGCACCTCCTGTTGGTGGACCTCCTCAAGGTCCTCCCCGAGGAGCTTCTCGTGGCGTTCCTGTGCCTCAGCCTCCTGCCGCTGCCGCTGCTGCTGCTGTCGCTGCTGCTGCTGCTGGAGTGGCCTCGGGTCCTCCTCCTGCTGGACCTCCTCGGGTGTCGTCTCGAAACGCATATGCTCCTAGAGGCGGTGCTCCTGCTCGAGGTACTACTCCTCCTGTGGGTCCGGCTATGGCTTACTCGCCCAGCGTTTCTCCCAAGCGAGTTGTCCAGCAGGCTCCGACACAGTCTCCTCGACGGTACTCGGAGTTCAAGGACATTGGCCAGAAGTCTACCGTGTCTGACGAGATTCTGCGAAAGCGACAGTTTCCCATTTTCCGATGGAGCAACTCCAAGAACGCTACTTGTCTGATTGCTCCTCAGATTGGTTACGCCACTGCCGTCAGCCAGACCTCGGTTCGTCTGGTGGATGTGAGTAAGTTGGTGTCCACCAATGAAGATGTTACTCGGTTCCCTGGACCTCTGTTCACTCCCAACAAGGGTCCTGTCAAGTCGAAGAAGAAGGAGCTGGAGAAGTGGGTGGCAGACCATGTCAACATGCTTGACTCGCACAATGCCGATGCCGATCGGGTTCTTCTCTGGAAGCTGGTTGGTGTGTATCTGTCCAATGATGGTGTCATCAACGCTGCTCAGGTTCGAGCTTTCCTGACTCCCCATTTTGAACAGAGTGCTACCGGCGATGGTTCTGCCTTCACATCTGCCATGGATCTGTCCTCGTCGTCGTTTGTGCCTCAGCAGGGCGACAACGGTCCCTCTTTCTCTGGTTCCGATGCCAACCATGTGCTCCGACATCTTCAGAGCGGATGCAAGGATGCTGCCATTCGACACTGTATGGATCGACGTCTTTGGGGTCACTCTCTGCTGATTGCCAGCACTATGGGTCCCGAGAAGTGGAAGGATGTGGTTGCTGAGTTCATCAAGGACGACGTGCGACCTCTGTACAAGCCCACTCTTCAGTTCCTGTACTCGTCCTTTGGAGGTGTGACTCCCTCTACCGAGGCGTATGGTGACTGGAAGGAGACGGTCTCTTACATTCTGACCAACGCCAAGGACGATGGTAGCGACCTGACTTCTCTGGTGGCTCTTGGAGACGATCTTGTGCAGAAGGGATATGTTGCTGCTGGTCACTTTTGTTATGTGGTTTCTCGAGCTCCTCTGGCCGACAAGATCACCCTTCTGGGCTCGGAAGGTCGAGATCTTGACGCCATCTTGTTGTCTGAGACTTATGAGTTTGCTCTGGGTCTCAAGACCAATGTTGCCATCCCCCAGATGCAGCTGTACAAGTTGGTGCATGCCGAGGTGCTTGCTGATCTTGGTTACGTGGCTCAGGCTCAGCGGTAC